CAGTCTGAAGGCCAGGCATCTGAGACACCAGCTGAAGCCGCAGAAGAAGAAACAGAGGGAAGCTGAGTTTTCATGGCATTGAAGGAAACCAGGTCGCATGGGATAAGCAAGAGCACCCAGCCGTGAGAGCCACACTAGACCGTACATTTGGCAGTCCAGTTGTTGGACCATCAGCGACATTCTGGTTTCAGAGATGTAAAACTCTTCCTCACTGAGTTCTGACTGTGACGTCGAGATTCCCACCCACACTCATAGCCACACTTATCCTTACATTAAACACTCATTTCACTTCTTTTTCTTATAACCTTAAAATAATCTGACTCAGGCATGCAGAGAGTCAGGGGGAAAGAAATGAGTTGAAAGCCTCATCATGGAAGCTAATGCAAAAGAATGATTCGAGAAGGAAATGATCAATGGTATCACCTGTTACAGGAAGATCCAGTAAGATAAGCGCCCAAAAACTAACAGAGGTTTGCTAATAAAATAATGGGAGAGCCGGGTGAGTGGAGACTGAAGCCAGGCAGCCTCTGGAAACGGCAGGAGTGGGGGGTCAGATCAGAGAGACAGCCATAGAAACCACAGTTTCGAGTGGCTCACTTCTGTAGAAAGAGGGGAAAGTAAGGTCCTACACAGAAGTTGTTGCAGAATATTGGGACTGGTTTAAGATGAACACATTTAAAGGCAGAGGGAGAGGATCCATTCATGAGCGTGAGGTTGAAAACACTTTGGAGAGAGGACAACTGATGGCATGAAGTTGCTGAAGAAATGAGCAGCCTCGGGGAGGAAAGAGTCTGAGACAGGAAGAGGGAAGAAGGCAACAAGGGGTATGGACACATAGCAGGCTATTTTAGGATCTGATATTGAAGATATTTCCTATAATGGCTTCTATTTTGTGGGTGAAAGAGGAGACAAGATTATCTGCTGACAGTGAAGAAAGAGACAGGTTTAGAGCCTTGAAGAAGAGAAGAAGACTTGCAAGAGTCATTTTGGAAAATGGCAGTGAGTTCTACGTGGAACCCTGTGGAGGATTATTGATTAGTAGAGGGCTCCGGTGAGAACACAGACCTGAGTGTGGCATGCCCACCTGTGATTTCTCCCAGTGTCCTCTAGTGGGGCAGGAAAAGCAGCAGAAACATTGTTAGTTGGGATTACTTGAAATCTGAGGGGAGAGAAGCAAGGGCATGAGTCAATGTTGGAAAAAGAATGATTGAAGAAAGAAACCAGAGGATCCAGGATGACCCCAAATGGCAAGGTTAGTAGGGAGAAAACAGGAGAACCAAGGAGACTCGAAGAACAGCTGTGTGGGAATAAGAGATGGAGGTCTGCAGTAGTAAGAATTTATGGAGATTTGAAGATTTCAGAGGTGGAGAAGTTGTAGGTGATGAGAAGACCCTAAAGTGCACCATGGGTCATAGATGAGTGTTGTGTGCCTATCCAGCTTCTCTTCCTTTGGGGAGCTTTCCTTCTGTCATTACTTGTGATTCTGGTTGAAAGATCACCCTAGAGCCTCCCCACACCCCACCTCTGCTACAGGAGTTGGCATGGGACACAGGCCAATGAGTTCATCCCCTGACTAAGGTGCTTGGTTCAGGAATGAGTAGGTGACCAAGAGGCGAGGATCAGACTCTTCTATCCTGACATTCTTTCCCTGGATGCTGGAGCAGAGAATCTCTCATTTTCTCAGCTCATGAGTTGTAAAGACCATGTAGCTTCTTGTGACCATCTTTCCTGGCAGCATGGAGGAACCAGTTGCAGAAGGAGAAAGTGAGGCCAACATGCAAAGACAAGCAAATCAAGGAGACATGAAAGATGGGTAGAAGCAAGATTTCAAATAACAATTTTAAATTGCTGGATCTAGCCATGCTGAAGCTAGTCTACCCCTGAATCTTTCAAATGAGCTCTCTCCCCACCAAATTCTCTTTGGCTGAAGGGAGTCTAAATATAATTTTTTTAAAGATTTTATTTATTTGTGTTTGCGAGAGAGAGAGAGAGAAAGAGCACAAGTAGGGGTTGGAGGAGGAGCAGAGGGAGAAGCAGGCTCCCGATGCAAGACTCGATCCCAAGACCCTGGAATCAGACCTTAGCCAAAGGGAGACACTTAAAATCAATGGAGCCATGCAGGTGTCCCAACGGAAGGTAGTCTGAACTGGGTTACTATAAACTACAATCCAAGGTTTAAGTAGCTGAAACAAAAGGAGGTAAAGGTATGGGGGCCAAGAAGGCCAAGGAGTGAAAGATAGGGCATTGTGTGAGTTTTCCTTATAGGCACTAAAGTCATCCAAGATGAAGGTAGTACTTCACGGGGATGGAGAAGACACCCATGAACCATCTGCAATAGGTCTTAAGTAGGAAGAACAGACAGGATGTTAGTAGATAACTACAATGAAGAACAGAAGAAAGTTCCATATCCATTAGCAGAAGTCTCAAATGAGCGATGGGTTTATACAAAGGTGCAGGCATTTCAGTGTGGAGACCCCATCGGGGAAAGAGAAGCATCCAGACCCCACTTACTGATGAGAAGCTAAGTGGAGTTCAGCAATAATGTGGATCAGATCGCTACTGCATAGAGCGGGCAGAGCCTTCCTGGTCCAAGGTTATATAACCATGAAATGCTTCCCAGTGAAAAATAAACTCCACTTCCAAGTCCTAAGTATTATTACAATATAAATAATAGAGATGCCCTTTAACCATTTTCCGCCCACCAACCCTTAACCTTGAATCACTCACTGTTCATCTGTAAGACAGACTAGAAGGTAGAACTGAAAATTTAGATGTCTCAGGCTTTCCCCCCCTCCAATTGAGATGTTTTATGCATACATTTAAATGTCTCAATGACCAGAGTAGTAATCTCGAAGGCAATTATCACTCAAGTATATTTGGTAGAATTAGTGTTAAATATTTTAAAGCCCTATTTAGAAAATCTCATCAACCTAACACATTTTATTGGCCAACATAAAATATACATGGGTATTAGGGAAGAACAAAATCTAACACAAAAATGTGAGGCTGGGCTGCCAACTCTAGAATGAATACCACAAAGGGAAAGCCAGCGATCAACTAGCATTTCGACAAGGAGGGAAATGGCTTTATTTTTTTTAAGATTTTATTTATTTATTTGACAGACCGAGATCACAAGTAGACAGAGAGGCAAGCACAGAGAGAGGAGGAAGCAGGCTCCCTGCTGAGGAGAGAGCCCAATGCAGGGCTTGATCCCATGACCCTGGGACCATGACCCGAGCTGAAGGCAGAGGCTTCAAAACCCATTGAGCCACCCAGGCGCCCCGGGAAATAGCTTTATTTAGGGATTTCAATTTGTCCAAATGACAAATAGTTAACATACCTATGGGTGATATACATAGACAGACTTCTTTTTCTTATGCCGTGTAGTCTTTCCACCAGAAATGGAAACATATTATTAGACCAGTTTATGTTTTTAAAGTGATGTTAAAAGTATCTCTGAATAGTGTCGAAAGTGAAATTTACAGAGAAAATAAGTGCCGTTCATTAAAGATTGTACTTGGAGAAGGAAAACAGAGGGAAGGTATAAAAACAATCCCTCCATCTCTAAACACCTCCATCTTCCCACGGATGAAAGAGAGCCGCTCAGCAAGTTCTCTAGAGACCAAACCAGTAAAGTCACCTCCTTCTTTCTGGGTGAGTGTGGGTCTGGAGCCATAGCCACTGAATCTTTGGATCGTGTGTGATGGGGAGAGCGGTTCAGGGGGTGTCTCCAGAGATCACAGGCCTTCCACTGGGAAAATACAAGCCCCCATCTCCTGTCTGTTGAACCCCCAGTTCATGTCCTTACTCTTGGCTCTGCAGGTGTTCTTATTAGGTCACAAATGCTATTTCATACTGTCCTTGCACGTAAAGGAGAAAGCGAGGCAACACTGACCCCATCCCCAAGGGGACATCCTGGGTCACTCCCTCTGTGTGATCTGTCAACGAGCCTCTAAATGTTAAACTCATTTCCTTTCCTCTAAAATTTACTTTTTCTCTTAATGTTTGGGGATAGTCTATTCCCCCCCCTTTAATTAGACACCAATGTTTTTTTCAGAGACTATTTAAAAATTCAAAAATAAGATTCAAAATAAAAATAAGATTCAAGGGGTACCTGGGTGGCTCAGTGGGTTAAAGCCTCTGCCTTCAGCTCAGGTCATGATCCCAGGGTCCTGGGATTGAGCCCCGCATCAGGCTCTCTGCTCAGTGGGGAGCCAGCTTCCTCCTCTCTCCCTGCCTGCCTCTCTGCCTACTTGTGATCTCTGTCAAATAAATAAATAAAATCGTTCAAAAAAAATAAGATTCAAAAATAAGATGCTCGCCCAAAGAACTAAAAGTTTCTCTCAATAAAGTTAAGAATATGGTTTCCTGAAAAACACTTGTGAAGTAGAAATTTAAAAAGACGGCAGAAAGTGATGGAAATTCATAATAAAACCCCCATTCTAAAAAAGTCCTCTTGCTGTCAGTACATGTGATATATTGGTGAATAAACCTGGGCAGGATTTCTTCATTTTATAGGTTTCGCATTAAAGGTTTCATTTTTAAAGGACTGAGATCAACCCAGTTCAAACATGAAAAATGCCACCAAATATGATCTGGCAGCAACATTTAAAACCGGTAGGTTTCTTACAGGACCTCAGACCTATGTGTTTTATCCAAATAATTAGGTGTAATGCTTTTTAAAGAAATCATATGCGTGACATTCATGAATCTCAATCACTTTGTGGACTTGATTTAATGTATGAATGTTTGTCTTCCTTTACGGGGGCAATTTTCACCACGATAACAGGAGAAACTGGAGGAGGGCGGAGTAGCAGAAGGCACAGCCTTTGATCTGGGACCAACATGGTCAGAATGCTGGTTCAATCACTAACCAATTGCAATCTTGGGTAGGTAACACCCTCTCTGAGCCCCAGACAGGTCACAAAATAAATCATTAAAGCTTCTCCACACAGCTACGATGAAAATTAAATGGGATAATAAAGCCCCCAGCTCATAAAAGGAATCCCACAAATGTTAATCCCCTGCCGCCATTGTGCATTCTAGATATGCAATCTACTAGAATTCTTCTGGGTCCCAAAGTGCTAGCAAATAAAATAATGTGTGCTCTTAACCTACAGCTGGCACCTCTAAGATCATTTTTTGCAAATGGGATTCTGGCTTGATCATCAAAGTATATGGTATTCACACACTGACCAAATTTCAAAGGTTTGGGGAATTTGTGAAATTGACCATTGGGTTCCATCTCTTATCTCCACCTCCCCCAAAAGAGATGGTATTCAATGAAGGAGTTTTAAGCAGTTCTGTGGGTGCCTATCGCCCCCTGGAATCATATCTTTGAGACAGGCACAGGTGACAAAGTGATGCTGATGTGAATGGATCAGTCTTTCAAGGCATTTGATGATTTCATAGTCAGGAAGTGCAAGACTGGTCACGTTCAAGCCCAGCATCTGGGAAACCACCTCCCTGAAGTCCACCAGCTGTAATATCAAACACACAGAAGGGTGAGAACACAATGTATCAACTACTGCTGGTCCAAATGCAACCAAACAAACCAACCCATTGAAAGCCTAGGTGTGCATGAGGTAAGCAAATTACTTAACTATCTTTAACCTCAGTTCTCTCATTTATAAAATAGGAAGGTGTCATCTATTAAATTACCTCTAAAATACTTTCATCCCCAACTTTTGGTGATTTCATAACCTCTTTTTTGATAAGCCAATTAGTGTGGCATTGGCTACCAAGTCAAGAATCTCGGTTAGGCAACCATGAACGGGACCCTGACCTAAGACTCCATATTCTCACTTCCTGGTGGGAATAACCATACACCTCCTTCCCAGGGCTATTCTGAAATTTGGATCCAATGAAACAATGACTGTGTATGTGTTCTATACAATAAGAAGTGCTTTACAAAAGTGTAGTTGTGTCCATGGGTGGTAAATCCTTATCCACTGGAATTTCAACTGGGCATGGAATCTTTTTTTTTTTAAGATTTTATTTATTTATTTGAGAGTATGTGAGAGCTGGGCGGGGGGCAAAGAGAGAGGGAAAGAGAATCTCAAGCAGACCCCATGCTGATCACGGAAGCCAATGTGGGGCTTAATCTCATGACCCTGAGATCATGACTTGAGCCAAAACCAAGAGTTGGGGTCTTACCTGACTGAGCCACCCAGGTGCCCTGGGCAAGAAACCTCTTAAACTAAAGGAAGAACAACGGGCAAGAAAGTATGAGCTGGGGGGTGCCTGTGTGGTTCAGTGAGTTAAAGCCTCTGCCTTCGGCTCAGGTCATGATCCCGGGGTCCTGGGATGGAGCCCCGCATTGGGCTCTCTGCTCAGCAGGGAGCCTGCTTCTCCCCTCCCTCTCTGCCTGCCTCTCTGCCTACTTGTGATCTCTGTCAGGTAAATAAATAAAATCTTAAAAAAAAAAAAAGAAAGAAAATATGAGCAGAGAAAAAAAGAAGGACTACTAAGTAATGACCAGATCACATCACATATCAGCCTCCTTCACAACCCGTAACATTAGACTCTCTGGGACTACCCTTCATCCATCACAAAAGGAAAAATGGAGAGGTGGGGAAATTGGAGACAATGGATGAAAATGTGCCTCATATTCCATAAATTCTCGTACACTGTGTACACTGTGATTCTGTGCTAGAGCAGAGCAGATTAAGTCAGGGCTATCTGGTCAACCCCTTGATGCAGTACCTTCCATTTTGGAAAGATGTGATCCAACAGACATTGCCTCCAGGAAAAGTGCCTTCCAAACATTCTCACCATGTCTTCATTCACTTCCCAACCTCCTTCCCATGCTGAGTCCAATCTAGGGGAACATAACACTCTCTCTAGCCTAGAATCCCTGATGAAGAAGTTCCCCCTCAAAATTGTCTCCCCTTTCACATATGGCGGAAGCTCTTCATTCCTGAGAGGTTTCTCTCTGAGAACACACACTTTATAGTTTGGCCTTCCTCAACATTGCCTGACACATGAGCCAAAGCAGAGGCAGCCAAAGAGAGGAAAAGAAAATATATCCTAGGATCAGAGTCCACTCTCTGCCCTTTTGAGCTTCAGAAAGAGAAGGAGATAAAAGCCAAACGCAATGGGGGTCAGGCTGCCCGGGACAGTTTCTTTATGCCTGACCTCCTGATGTGCTCACCAGATAAAACTCTCCTCCTCGCAACCAGCCAGCAAGTGAGTACTGTTTATGGCTTACATCTGGGTGAGACTGGCCATCGAGTCTGGGTGCCACTGTTTGAGAGTTGGGACTGTTTCCTGCCACTGATCTCTGATGGAGATAAGCTCTCCCTCCTGAGGCTGAAGCCTGGGCTGATGCAAACTTCAGAGGCAATCAGAGAACATAATCAAAACCTCTCCACAACCAGAAACTGGCTTTCCACAGCCTTTCCACTGCTTTGATGAGAATGTCTTTTTCTTTCCTACAATTCATGCCATGAAACTGTGGATTATTTTTCTTAGCAGAGTAAATCATAATGGTTATTTTAATGCCAGGAAGATGCTAGAGGGCAAGCAGATACATTGGAACGATAAAGAAAACCTTGTAGATTGTTTTTGAAGAAATGTAAAAATAATTATCAAGCTTTTGAATTGTCCTTTTTCCTAAACAAGATTTCACCCCAGATTTCTACCCACCTGCTTTTCTCTCATTTCTGCTTCTTCCAGAGACTTCTTTAGCATCTTCGTTTCACTGGTTACCACTTCCATCATACTCCTGGCCCTCTCCTTATCCTCCTGAGCCTCGTGCTCTGCGGTATCCAGTTCCGACTTGACAGACATTAGCTTTTTCTCAGCTTTCTCCTTCATCTTCTCAAGTTTGTCTCTGGACTTACTTAGGTCTTCAATAATTTTGGTCTGTTCCAAAGCTTTAATCTACAAAGTCAAGGGAACGCTAATAATTTCTATCGTATTTGTTTTTGGAAAATTGTATCAACAAGATAAAACTAGAAGTCAATAAATTCACTTAATAACTTTTTTCTAAATAAAGAATGGAATCCATCCCAGTTATACAGACTTTGCTAAACACACATGCCGGACAAACATGTCTTAAGGCAGTTACAGCTTATAAACATATCAGAGGACCATTATTTAGAAAATCAATGAGACAAAAGGTAGATAGCATGATTCTGGGGTTAAATATTCAAATAAAGTCTGCTGGTACTTACTCACAGACTCTAATATACTCCATAGGCAAAAGCAACTTGCACTTTGGGATTTATGAAAGGGTCATCCCCAGCATAGAAACACTAGGATAAGTAAAATATCTCCTCTGCTAGTGGTCTATAACAAGGAAGCCCACCTAAAATCCCCTCAGTGAGTCTTCATTACTACTGTAAGGAAAATCTGGAACAGCAATATTTCAGAACTAATGCCTTCGGACTTGACCAATGAATATGGGAGGCATGAGGTGGCCACAGCATCCCACTGCAAATAAGAGGGAAGGTGTGGGGGGTGCCTCTCTCTTGGAAGCTGTCCCAGGAGCTTAAAGCCAACACAGAGAGCATTCTGGAGCATGAGGCACATTTTCTTTATTACCTTAGTATTTAAAATTTTGCCAGATCTGCTTACAAAAAAGAATTTGAACAAAATGTTGAAATTCTGATCAATACCATAACATGGATGAACTTTGGACATTACAACAGATAAAATAAGCCAGACACAAAGGGACAGATATTGTATAATTCTATTTATATGAGGTACGTGGATAGACTAATTCATAGAGAGAAAATGTGGAACAGAATTCCATCGCCAGGGGAGGAATGGGGAGTTATTTAGTGGGCACTGAGTTTCAGTTTGGGAGGATAAAAAGTTCTGGAAATGGATGGTGGTGATGGTTGCACAACACTGTGGATGTATTTAATGCCACTGAATTGTGCACTTAAAAATGGTTCAAATGATAACTTTTATGTTATGGATATTTTACCACATTTTTTAAAAAGAATTGGAGGTAGTTTTACATATCCGACACAAAATTTTTAACAGCAACCATTACAAATAAGTATGAATGAGCTACCATTCAGCATCCACGGGGATGGCTGCAGTTAAAAAGAGAGACAGCAGCAAGTGTTGGCAAGGGTGTGGAGAAATTGGAACCCTCACATACTGCTGGTGGAAAGGCAAAGTGGTACAGCTGTGGGAAACAGTTTTTCCAGTTTTCAAAATATTAAACACAGAGTTAACTCATGAGCCAGCAATTCCACTCCTAGGTTTATATATTCAAGAGAATTAAAAACTTCTGTCACATAAAACCTGTCCACAAATGTTCACAGCAGCACTATTGATAATCGCCGAAAAGTAACAACAACCCAAATATCCATCAACGGGTGAGTAGATAAATAAAATGTTGTACATCCATGCAAAGGAATGTTATTCACCAGTAAGAAGGAATGAAGCACGGATACATCCTATGGATGAACCTCGAAAACCTTTTGCTAAGGGGGAGAAGCCAGTCATGAGAGACCTCTTAGCGTATTATTCCATTCATATGAAAGATCCAGAAAAGGCCAGGGACGAGTGGGAGGGGAGACTGCAGGATAACTGCCAACGGGTTGTTTTCAGGGTTGATGAAAATATTCTGAAATTAGATAACGGAAATTTGCTTTCATCTACTATAACACACACGACTTCTTAAGAAATTTAGTTTCTGTTCCCAGAGAGAGGAGGCTGATGGCAGCCATGCCTGGACAAGTTCAAAGCTTTGAACTGCCTCCATGAAGGAGAAAGGAAATCCTCGGGAAACTGACAGCTGTTGTGGGACTTGCAATGGGGAAGGCATAAAAACCACCACTGCAGCTTGAGAAATCCACAGGCGATACCATGCCAACTATGGTGGAGGGAAGGAATTCAGAGTCAGTTTTTGAGCCAATGAAATGGCACTAGAAAACCAAGTTTCTACCACCCACTAAGTGCAGGTCTGCAGAGGCTGACCTTGGAGATCATGCACGGATTCCAAGTTACGAAAACCCACGTGATCAATACAACGTGCATCCTACTCATAAACGTTTTTGAACATATATGTATATGTATTTGTAAATTAGATCAGCAGGGGTGCCTGGGTGGCTCAGTGTGTTAAGCCTCTGCCTTCTGCTCAGGTCATGATCTCAGGGTCCTAGGATCGAGCCCCGTCGGGCTCTCTGGTGAGTGGCGTGCTTGCTTCCCTCTCTCGCTCTGCCTGCCTACTTGTGATCTATCTCTCTATCTATCTATCTCTCTCTGTCAAATAAATAAATACATCTTTTTAAAAAAATAAATAAATAAATTAGATCAGCTACTGCTCTAAATAATGTAGTCAGTCGACTATCAAATAAATATGTTACAAATTGGGGGACACTGCATGACTGAAATCTTTATCAATTTTAAAACAAAGTTATCTCCTTTTAAAACAAAGAGATTCCCCTCATGTGCAAACCATCACACGCTACAGAGAGACTATGTGGCCAAGTGGAAATTTGCTGGGATTGGGATACTGAATTCAAAAGCTTGTATTAAAGGATATGTTCAGCCTTTCTGCTCAGATTAGAAAAGCATTTACAGTGGGCTATCTACCAAAAGTGACGGAACACAGCTTGGAGAGCTAGAAGTCCATAAATCAGGTCCTAATGAGGAGAACTCATAGCCAAAAATTTCTGAAAAATACGAGACTTTATCACAATCCTAAAGGCTGCCTCAAATCTTGTCATCAGGGAGCAAAGGCAAGTCATGGAGCTCTGAGCCAAGCCACCAGAACAAAACTAAAAGCCAGGGGATGACAGAGACCTCGCGCTCCTAAATCAAACCCAACAACCGAGATTCCGGGAAGTGGGGTGTGGCTAAGCTGGTTTCTTAATCCTCCAGAAGGAGCTTCCCAGATCCAGCCCAGAGTTCAACAAGAGCCTGTGTCCCTAATGGTCTTCCAGTGGGGCAGAACTGGTCATCAACAAGACCTATGTGCCACCCAGACCCCAGGGGGATGGAGAAGGCTCCAAGGGGGCTTTACGTCCGGGGAACACTCTGTCTAGTGTCAGCCTCCTTGAGAGAAAAAATGTCAAAATCCAGTGAACAGTTCTCTCTCATGTTAAACAAGCCCAAGGCTCTGAAAGAGATGGTGATGGAATTTTAAATCTGATGGGTCAAATCCCCCAGAGGATCTAAATTCTCTAGCTGGAGGGCTTTCAAGAAGCCGCATTGAAAATGCAACCCCGTGGGAGCTCAGCTCTATACACAGGCACCCTGAAAACCGGGAACCGCAAAGAGGAAGAGCATCCCCGTGGCCCAAAGACAGGCTGCGCCCTTACTAAAGAGAACCACAAGGATTTCAGCAGAGGGAAATTGAAGCAGAAAACAGAAGGTGTTCGACTCGGCAGTCTGAGCACACCTCCACTCCCACCGCTCTACAGCCCAAGAAGTCCTTCCTTGTAGGTTCTGCTCGCGGCACACATTCAAAGTAGGGAGAGTTCAAACCCAATTCCAATCTACTACTGGAGATCCACTGAGCCCAAGATGGTAGGTTACAAGAAATATATATAAAGAAAGGCTGCACTGACAGGGTTGGAGAAAGTTCTAGAGTAGAGAAGGAGCATGGGGAGCAGCTGTCTTGCATGGGAGATGATCAAGAGAGGTAGTAAGAGGAAGAGACCTTTGCTGCTGGCTAAAGGATATTATTCCCCTTTAGTGTTTCCGTGAGAGGCTAAATGAAGGTAACAATGGTTTTTCAGGTTTTGGTTGTCTGACTACTGATTTGGGGGCACAGCTCCCTACTAAAATTGGGCCACATGGTACAGATGAAAAGCCGATACCTCTCCACCCAATATCTATTCTTTCTTTTGTTCTTACTGCCCACAATAGATCCATTTCTCAAGCTGACTTCATCTAAGGGAGGCCTAGGGACTAAGTTCTGGCCAACAGAGATACAAAGCATTGCATTGTTCCTGGAAAGTGGCCTATAGGTTGTCCTCCTGGCTTTCCTCCTCGCTGGTGGCTGGAATGAGGCCAGAGCCCCAGCAGCTAGCTTGTGTTAGGAAGCAGCATTGAGGATGAAAGCTCTTGCCAGAACACTGCGGCAGAAAGAACAAGCCAGGGCCGCCGATGACCGCAGAGCCATTCTGCTAAGCATGGCAGGCCTTCTTTTCCATGAGAAAGGGCTCTTCTGTGTAAGCCACTGTTATTATAGGGATGTTCCAATATATTTCACTGAAGCTAATCATAACTGACACAGGTTAGGAAGCAACTGGTGTTACAGGAGTTACACAAAGCATTTTCTGGGTCCCCTGGAGTTCTGCCACATGATTTCAGTGCCTGCACTTGCATTTGCACAAAAACCTATGTTTGTGCCAATTAGTAGTACTACTTTAATTATTCTAAGTTAATGAGAAAAGAGCAATGGTGGACTTATTACATAAATAATGTGTTCCTGCCAAGGGAAGGCCAAACCATGTCACTGTGCGTATACAAACAGCACATCTGCAGCTTTCAGTTAAAACACGGGCTAGACTAAATGCTCTGTCCTTAGACCACAGGCACGCGAGACTTCAGAAGAACCCAGGCCACAAGCAATGGATACTACACATTCTAATTAATGGTGATTGTAGTGAAATAATATAATCCAGCACATTGAATTAATATCATTAATGTTTTCAATTCAACTTTTACACTCCACTTTGCTTTCTAATTGGTCTAATTTTACAATGGTAAAAATGTAGCAAGATTGGGGCGCCTGTGTGGCTCAGTCAGTTGGGCTGACTCTGGGTTTTGGCTTGGGTCATCATCTCAGGATTGTGGGATCGTGCCCACACCACCACCCCCCCACCGTCAGGCTCCACACTCAGCAAGGAATCTGCTTGAGATTCTCTCCCTGCCCCTTTCCCTCCCCTCTGCTCCTCCCCCCACACTCATGT